GTATACAATCCATCCTCAGACATACTCGGAGTAAGTAACTGGTGCGTCTATGTTCACTCAGCGGCGTCACTAGTCATCGATTTTGCACCTCATCCACTGCTATATAGAAACCGGTTTTCACCGTAACGCGCGTGGGAATCGGTTCCAACACACACGGGCAGGCACGAGTAAGCGTGGAAGCTTAATTGTCTGGCCCAGGAGAGATCAATTATTTGTTCTTAAAGTCGATTTTTGAACCAGTTTATTTTATCTGTCTGTGCGGGACCTATGGTGGGTCTGAAATAAATGGGAGAGTTCTCCTACGAACTAACCCATTTGTTAACTCTGCCGATATTAAGAGACTCGTCATCGTCATAAGTTGCCTTGCCGACTGACATGGGCGATTATGCCTCTTCACAGGGTGCGATCTTCAACAGCATGTATTATCACTTAATGTGCTGAAGTCCCTCCATAAAAGTAAAAGTAAAGGATTACTTTTCCACGCCTTTAGGCGTATTGCGCATAAAGGGTAGATCGATATTTTATTTACGAATCGTCGCTTGGTTGGTGATGTGGTCAGCATCACACCGGCCGCCTTTACTTCCCAGGACTATACCTGGTACCAGCTCCAGGCTGGGTCGACTTGGAAGACAATGTCATTTTTGAAACAAAATTAAAAGTCCTGTTCCGTGAGGACCCGAACCCACGCCCTTCCGATCCGTAGGCAAGCATCTAGTCGCTACACCAGGACGACTCCAACATTACCTCCCACCCCCCACCCCCCATACCAAAACAACACTGAGCTAAAACTCTTCTCGTACTGTCTTTCTCTTTCTCTTTTTCCATAAATCTTACCAGCGGTCGCAAGCTACTTCAGTTTCTTACTTCTCATAACCTGACCCATGAAATTACGTGTCTATCTGGTTGTGATAAGTTCTCTTCAGGACCTCGCCTCTTTCAAAACATCCGGGTAGCGCAAAACCCAGAGACTCGTTTATATATAAACGTTTAGGTTCCGGTTTCCACTCGTGTGTGTGTGTGTGTGGGGGGGGGGGGGGGGGTAAGGCGGAAGAATTAAAGCCTTGCCCCTAACAAGAATGTTGTAAAAGTCGACCAGTTAGTGGGTGTTTCCTTCGAAGTTGGGAGTGCAACCAGCATTTTTCGCCAGAGTGTACAGCTGGTGAGCACGAAGAAAAAGACAATATATATATATATTTTTTCCCCTCAGTGCATGTTATATACAGTTTCTTAACTTCTGCTGTGATATTCGTCTGTTAATGGTAGTCTTCGTCTTCTTCTTTGCCCGTCTGGAAAAGAGCGGTTGATGCATTGTGTCGTGGTTTACAACTAGGCTTCGATATCTGAGCCTTTCGAATCAACACATCTGACTTCGGTAAACACCTAATTAGTCACCCTGTTAAGATGTAGTAAGTCTGTTCTTCTTTTCTCTATCTCCAAAATTTAACAATAGAAACCACACGGAGAAGTTATGGTAATCAAATATAATTGCCTGCACAAAATTGACGAAATAGAATGGTATAACCTAATTGGATACAACTCACGAAAGCCACCCCATGTCTTCAGCCGCTAGTTTTCGTAGGTAATTTCCCGAGAAACTCCTATAATGTTGTGTTGTGTGTTCCCTCGTCTTGAACGTTTTAAGCACATCCACCACCGAGGACAGCCACCGCCAGTGTGAGCGTAACCCCCACCCCCCTCCCTAATGATTTGATACTCACGAATCGTCGCGCCTTTGGCTCATCCCCTGCAGTACTTCTTTCTTGGGACCTACTCGCAACAATACATTTTAGAAACAACAGTCGTTTACAGAAAAGAGAGTTGCGAAAAGAAAGTTGTGCACTTTCGTCTCAGCGACAGTGTGTCGAACCCGTCAAACGACCCTAGCCACGCTGTGTATAGACGGTGAAGAAAGACGTCTTATAAAACACTTAGAGCATAGATAGACCTTGGGAACTGATACGAAATTTCGCAGCCGAGGTCATGAGAGTGACTTTCGTAGGTAGTACCCAGAACTGTTAATGTTGAGCGTTGGGAGAGAGCTAAGCATCTCCATTGAATCTCAAGATGGGAAGAAAAGACGCTGGCGTTGCTTTAGACCGACTTCGAGAAAACATTATAATAATATATAACTTGAATGCCCTTACACCAGAACTTACAGGAGGAGTAAATAAAGTTACGTTAGAAAAAAGGGACACACAGGTTGATGAATGATGGGATGGGCATGGTGTTAGCTGCACATGGTGACAAAGGGCAGGAAAACTTGGCGCCAAGTTAGTTGAGGCCTTATGGTCCGTTGGGGGAATACAGGGAAGAAGAAAATCTAAGAGTTGGGGGTGGCCTTGAGGAAGGTCGTGTGCTCAGTTTAGGGCATAAAGGAAAGAATAATACGAATAAGGAGGGAAAGGAAAGGGAAGAGAAGGCGTGGGTAGAAATAATATAATAACCACCCGGACAGGATTGCCTATAGTGAGAACAGGTCCATATAAAGAAATTGCAGACAACAGAGAGACAAAACACTGTGTACAGAAACAGTTGACTGCAAGTAAACCACGAAGCAGACCGAAAAGACAAAATAGAGGCAAACTACAAATACTCGGAATCACCGACTGGACAGAGAATGCCAGTCACAGAAATTAATGAAGGCGAGTGACGGGTGATATCTGCAGCTTTAACCCCCCCCCCCCCCCCCCCCCCCCCCCCCCCCCCCCCCCCCCCCCCCCCCGCGCCTGGACTCGGAATGCCGAAGAAGACCAGACAAAGAGGACTGGAATTGGTGAAACTACCGATTATGTTGTGGGCTAGAAATATGTATGGACAGATAAAAAGAGCAATGAAAATGTCTTAAAAGAAATTAGTGCCCGAGGGTCACTGATTGCCCGCGATAGAAGGAGACATTCTTTGGTCATCTGATGGGATGGAGAAACATTGAGTACATGTTGACAGTGGGGAAAAAGAAGCAGAGGTAGGCAGAGAAAGAACATTCTATATAGTTTGACATCATGACACAGAACAGTGGCTCTCAGCCTTTCTAACACCGAGACCCTTGAATACAGTTATTCATGTTGTGGCGGTTCCCAAACATACAATTATTTCCGTCGCTACTTTATAGCTTCAGTGAATGTGTGTTTTGGGTCGCGACCCGCCGGTTGAGAACCGTTGGCATAGAAGATCAATTATATCATAATTAATAAAAAATACGAGACAGAAAGTTATACATGGACATCACTACCAACGCCGCACGGCATGGACTATTGAAGATCACCTGTTTGAGAATTGATTGAAAGTACCCGGAACAGAAGATGTATAGACATGACTCACAACACCACACGACATGGACTATTGAAGATCACCTGTTTGAGAATTGATTGAAAGTACACGGAACAGAAGATGTATAGACATGACTCACAACACCACACGACATGGACTATTGAAGATCACCTGTTTGAGAATTGATTGAAAGTACACGGAACAGAAGATGTATAGACATGACTCACAACACCACACGACATGGACTATTGAAGATCACCTGTTTGAGAATTGATTGAAAGTACACGGAACAGAAGATGTATAGACATGACTCACAACACCACACGACATGGACTATTGAAGATCACCTGTTTGAGAATTGATTGAAAGTACCCGGAACAGAAGATGTATAGACATGACTCACAACACCACACGACATGGACTATTGAAGATCACCTGTTTGAGAATTGATTGAAAGTACACGGAACAGAAGATGTATAGACATGACTCACAACACCACACGACATGGACTATTGAAGATCACCTGTTTGAGAATTGATTGAAAGTACACGGAACAGAAGATGTATAGACATGACTCACAACACCACACGACATGGACTATTGAAGATCACCTGTTTGAGAATTGATTGAAAGTACCCGGAACAGAAGATGTATAGACATGACTCACAACACCACACGACATGGACTATTGAAGATCACCTGTTTGAGAATTGATTGAAAGTACACGGAACAGAAGATGTATAGACATGACTCACAACACCACACGACATGGACTATTGAAGATCACCTGTTTGAGAATTGATTGAAAGTACACGGAACAGAAGATGTATAGACATGACTCACAACACCACACGACATGGACTATTGAAGATCACCTGTTTGAGAATTGATTGAAAGTACCCGGAACAGAAGATGTATAGACATGACTCACAACACCACACGACATGGACTATTGAAGATCACCTGTTTGAGAATTGATTGAAAGTACACGGAACAGAAGATGTATAGACATGACTCACAACACCACACGACATGGACTATTGAAGATCACCTGTTTGAGAATTGATTGAAAGTACACGGAACAGAAGATGTATAGACATGACTCACAACACCACACGACATGGACTATTGAAGATCACCTGTTTGAGAGAATTGATTGAAAGTACCCGGAACAGAAGATGTATAGACATGACTCACAACACCACACGACATGGACTATTGAAGATCACCTGTTTGAGAATTGATTGAAAGTACACGGAACAGAAGATGTATAGACATGACTCACAACACCACACGACATGGACTATTGAAGATCACCTGTTTGAGAATTGATTGAAAGTACCCGGAACAGAAGATGTATAGACATGACTCACAACACCACACGACATGGACTATTGAAGATCACCTGTTTGAGAATTGATTGAAAGTACACGGAACAGAAGATGTATAGACATGACTCACAACACCACACGACATGGACTATTGAAGATCACCTGTTTGAGAATTGATTGAAAGTACACGGAACAGAAGATGTATAGACATGACTCACAACACCACACGACATGGACTATTGAAGATCACCTGTTTGAGAATTGATTGAAAGTACCCGGAACAGAAGATGTATAGACATGACTCACAACACCACACGACATGGACTATTGAAGATCATCTGTGCCAAATCATCCAGCAGACGTTTCTGATGTGTGATTACTTTTTAACTTTCTCATTTACAGAACATGCAGAGCAGCACCGGCGGCCTGATAAAGAAAGCGGCAAGGTGTTGCATTCGTCAGAGAAGGACCTGGTACAGAAGTCTGATAAAGAGGTTAATGTCCAGGTGAGTGATTTATGTCCTTAGAGAGGAGAAGGGTAGAGGACAGTAAGGAATGATGTGTATGCAGGGCTCGTCTGTGTGTGTGTGTGTGTGTGTATGTGTGTGTGTGTGCACACGTGTGCACACACACTCAGACACAATCACTCACACACACATACTCACTCACTCACACACACACACACACACATGTATACATATAGACAGACATTAGAAATACAGATTAGATAGATTAGACAGGCAGGCAGACAGACAAACAGACAGACACAGATAGGGATAGATGATGGGTGGATAGATAGATAGATGGATGGATGGATTATAGACAGATGTATGGAAAGATACGAGATAGGTGGGTAGAGAGAGAGAGAGAGAGAGAGAGAGAGAGAGAGAGAGAGAGAGAGAGAGAGAGAGAGAGAGTGAAAGAAGACGGCGAGAGTGTGTAACAGAAAGATAGGTGTAGGAGTCTAATAAAGAAAATAATGTGAGTGGAAGTTTTTCATATGTTTATAACAGAAGGTAAGAGGACAGTAAGAAATGATGTTGAAAAACAGAGGAATGATTTAGTAAAGAGGCTGATAAAGAAGCTCATCAGAAATGTCCACAAACCCATGATTTAGTCAATAAAATACACGCTAAAGACCCATCCATATTGGACAGCAGGTTACTGTGTTACTGTTTTATGGTGACCTAGTATAACTGTGCTGTGTAGCTTTACCAATTCTGGGCTTTGTACCTGTTTGATTCTGATCCCTGAGATATTAATCATACAGACTGCAGTCCCAGAGGAAAGAAACTGAATGAATAAATAAAACAAAAAATAAGTGCTGTTCACATTTTTAGTTGTTCTTATTTTCGCTGTCTGCAAAATTATTCTCGTTTTTTACTGGTCTGCAAGTGTAAAAAATGTTGGAGAAAGATGATTGTAAATGATTAACAGAAATTTGACCTTTAGAATAGCCAAATATTTTACCCACTGAACACTTCTACCTGCTACAGAACCAGGGGCGGTGAAAGAGAGTCAGTTGATCATCCTCATTACGTTGTTTTGTTTTAGTATCCAAAAGCCATGAGTAGTTAACCCCTGGGCTCGGTATTATGGATATCGCAACCCTTTGGCCTTGATTCCATGATAAATACCGTAAATCTGGGAGAAATGTGGCTTTTCTGCCTACCCCCGGGCGTGATCCCCGACCACAAGGAATTCGTCACCCGGTCACTGCGCAATCCGGTTTAGCCAACTACGCTAGAGAGCCAGGCCATCCTCATTACACATTGAACTGCTCAGTCCATAAGTTCTTGGATGTCCTTCTCATTATGTATTGCACTATGTAGTGGCTGATGAAACCGCGTTCTGTTCTAGTTTATTCTTCTTCTTTGGCTTTCTGCATAGTACTCTAGTCTGGCCTTGTCATTTTTCACTTGCTCTTCTCATAGTCCTACATGTTGTTCTCATAGTCCTACATGTTGTTCTCATAGTCCTACATGTTTTTCTCATAGTCCTACATGTTGTTCTCATAGTCCTACATGTTGTTCTCATAGTCCTACATGTTGTTCCCATAGTCCTACATGTTGTTCTCATAGTCCTACATGTTGTTCTCATAGTCCTACATGTTGTTCTCATAGTCCTACATGTTGTTCTCATAGTCCTACATGTTGTATCCATTGTGGTTTGATTTATAAACTGCAGATTCCGAAAATGGCCAGTGCAGCTGCCTGAAGCTGCAGAATTGTTGATGTCTTATGCGATTAATTGTGTGTGCAACTACTGATTTTTGTTTTGTAACTGCTGCTTCCATCCATAGTTAGCTGCATTTCTAGTACCAGGTTGTTTGTGTTAGCACTTCTGATGGCAGCCTTATGCATTTAATGCATGTCTATGTTGTTTAGCTTTGCCGAGAGTCTACAGTATGTATCACTAAACTATTTCACAAGAGTTAAGTTAAGTCAAGAATTGATATCACAGCACTCGGGGCATTCCCAAGCATGCTCTGTCCTCATCTTTAGCAGCCAGGCAGAGTTCCAGTACTGATGGTACCGGTCACAATCTGGTTATATGTCCGTCTTGCCTTTCCTCTGAGTGTAGTGAGCCGGCCAGACCCTCTAGTTACACCTAAGTGCCTCATTCTTTCCAGGCCATAATAATCCTCTTTCTCTACTGATTCCGTTGCTTGTTCCCAAAGGGCCTTGACCTTATCTGTATTTCGCGAAGGCCAGTGATAAACATTCTGTGTGATGTTTGTCAGCACAGGAATGGAACAACAAGGGGTGACCAATTTGCGGTGATGTTGGAACTGCGACTGCCTGATTAGTCCTTCCTTTAGTCTGGTCATGGTTGCAGATTTACAGTCTTCACTTGGTTCTCGCAAACATCTGACTTCAGTTTATCAGCCTAGCCAATCGCTTCTCCATCCCCAGCCTAGCCAATTGCTTATCCATCCCCAGCCTAGCCAATCGCTTATCCGTCCCCTACATTAGCCTTACCTGCAAGACTGTCATCTTGCTCATTTCCCTTTACACCTTTCTGTCCTGGCATGAAAATGTTAGCTGTGGTCACCTCATAAACTCTAACCTTATTAGTCTTTAGGCCCAGCCCGTCTGTGCCTTCTTGAGTATATTTATTGAGTCACATGCCAGAGGGAAAGCCCAGACTATCTCTGTCTTCTTAAACATACTTATTGAGTCAATGAGATACCATGCCAGAGGGAAGGTCTGTATCTCATGCCAGGCTGTTGCTTTAGTTATTGCCATGACTTCCATAATTAGACTACTTGTCAAGGCAAAAGCATCAGTCTTCCGTCACAGTTCTCTCTTCAGCCTGAGCAGTAAAAGCTCATAAGCTTTGGACATGTCCAAAGGAAAATCAGCAATCAGAAAATCAGATAACAGACCATGGAAATACAGTAGGCATAGATAAGAGACAGCCAAATGCTTGTAACATTACGAAAACAAATGTAGAGATAACAGAATAGTTGAGAATGAAAACAGACAAAATACAGAAGAAACACAGTTTGAACATGATGACAGATGTGACTGTAACAGCTGTCCTGGACAAACTGACTGACCGGTGTGATAGTTCCAGGATATTGGCTGAACGCAGTCAAAGTTTACGGTTATCAAGATAAAGGCTAAACGCAATCAAGAATTAAAATTAAGGATATCATGATATGGGCTGAACACAGTCAAAGTTTATGGATATGAAGATAAAGGCTAAACGCAATCAAGAATTAAGGATATCATGATACGGGCTGAACACAGTCAGGGATTAATGATATCAGGATATTAGCTAAACACAATCAGAGTTTAAGGATATCAACGTATGGGCTGAACACAATCAAGATTGAGGATATCAAGATACGGACCTTAACACAATCAGAGATTGAGGATATCAGGATAAGGCTGAACTCAGGGATTAAAGAAAGATGGCTCTAGGTCAAACAGAATCAAAGATGAATGAAGTCAGGGCAGAGGCTGAAAACGGTCAGAGATTAAAAATGTAATTTGAGCTGAGGAAAGTAAAAGATTAGTATGGCATACTAGCAGAATGCCTTATAAAAACTGGGTTAATTGTAATAATCTGATGGACTATCTCAAAGTAATTTACTTTATTCCATACTAAAAATAATGTAATTGTATGTGTCAACTACCACAAGCATAAAATAAAGACTGTACAGTCCCCACAGTGTGCCTGTCAAACAGGACCACAAACACCCCAGCACATTCTGCCGACCTGCCCAATCTACATACAGCTTCGAAAAGACACCTGGCCTCAAGAGCAAAGCGTGCAGAGCAAGCAGTGGGGAACCATGAAGGACTTGCAACTGACAGGCAAGTTAATAGAGGCAACCCAACTGATGGTCTGATCTGAGCGTACAAAACCGAACTTAGAGAAGAAGAAGAAGAGGTGTTTTTTTAATATCCTACCCCAAACGGGAAATCCACTGGTCATGGGACAGTCTAATATTTCAGGGGCTGGTAGATAGGCTGCATGCAGTCGTGGGACCTAGGCTGCATGCAGTCGTGCGACGTATTTGGGTTGGGGTTAAGGCCAGTTCTAGATGTTTTTTGGGTTGTTGAAAGCATAAGAAAGCCGGGAAACCCAGTCTTACCACCCTCTGAAATTTTGACTGTCCTGTGACGTCATCTGGGGTATGATATTAATAAAGAACCTAAGAAGAAGAAGATATGTGTCTTGATGACATGACTTATAATGTTCTCATGCTCTTGCTGTTTTTCTTTTGTTGCAAACTATCAGATCTTCAGAACAGCAGAGGAGATGAAAAAGGTAGAGAGAAATCTGGATCATCTCAAGCAACAGCTGGTTAGAAATGAGTCCAGGTATCTGTTATGTCTGTCATGGTTGATGTGTTTAGCATATACGATTTGCGGTCTGTATACTTTTTACTTTGTTAGTCTGTCTTGTTTTCTGATGTCAGTGAATCCAGCACTTGTGTTATATGTTGCTCTATCTTGATGGGATTATCTATACAGGTGATTCTGCGTTGAAAGGTAGAATAAATTCATAAGGGTATATTGCAAAACTATCAGATGCCACTTAGTGCCACTTAGGGATACCACAACATCTAGCTCAGGGGTTCTCAACCTTCCTAATGCGGTGACCCTTTAATACAGTTCCTCATGTTATGGGGACCCCCAGCCATACAATTATTTTCATTGCTACTTCATAATTTATCTGAATATGTGTTTTGTGATGGTCTTTGGCTACCCCTGTGAAAGGGTCATTCGAACCCAAAAAAAAAAGATCATGACCTATAGGTTAAGAACCGCTGATCTAGCTGAAAAATTCAGGTGGAGGCAGACTGGCTTTCTTTCGGTATAAAAAAACTGGCCACACATGTATGTTGTGATTATAATTGACTCACAAAGCATGCAAAGAAAGGTGGAAAAAGGCATGCCCTGTGCAACAGATTTTAAAGTTAAACACAAAATATGACTAGAAAGCGCAATGGAGGGAGTAGAAAAGATTCATACAAACACAACCCACTCCCCTATTAACATCAAGCCCTGAGCAGAGTGACAAGCAATGATTCAGAGGTCCTCCATAGTTAGCACCGTTTAGATTTTTTTTCCTCTGAGGTTTGTGAGTGTGTTGGGAAATGAACAGGCTGGCTGGTTCTGCGCCACTGGTTGGTAAACTGATGCATACAAGTTAGAGGTGGTCAAGGCCATCTGAGAGCAAGCAAACAATGCGGAGCGCAAATATACCATTGCGGTCTAAAAAACAGTGGTGCAGCGGAGTGAGATCAGGGAATCTGGCCAACAGTTAACAGAAAGGCAGGATGGACGCACAATTACACTGCTACCTGTGCCATCAAAGCTGGAGCTCTGCGCTGGCTGCTGCAGATGGGGATGGAGCACTTACGAGAATGTCCTTAGTGCTGTGATGTTGATTTCCAACTCAGTTCTGCACATGATGACAGCATTAGACACTTTGGTAAGATAGACATGATACTAAATGACAGGGCATCCATGGAGACTAGACTGATGATATGAAAGACATTAATTACATGAAACTGGCCAGTTCCACTTATCAAGTGCTAGGCATCCAATTGTTCCTTCCCGTGATGGTTAATGACAGAAGTGGAAGTGGATGATCGATGATGATGATTAGGCAGTATACTTTTAATCTTTCTAAATAGTTTTAATAAGACAAGCAGACATTTAAGTAAAACAGACATGATAATTTTGATCTGTTCAAATATGAGACAGTTTCAAATTATAACTTGAAAGTGTGATAGAAATAACAACAACCATGTCATTGTCCTGTAATAATAATATGCAGACACAGATGGTGGCATCATCTTCTTCTTCTGCCTTTCTAACCCCCAGTGGAGCATAGGCCCCCAACCAACTCACGCCAAGTCGTTCTATCTTTTGCTGTCGAATGCAGATCCCCATGTCCTCCACATCTTTTTGACTTCTTTCTCCAGCTCTCTTCTCCATGCGTTTTTTTTACCTTCCTTTATTCCTATGCTCCTGTGAGTTCCAGTGCAAAGACATTCTAGTTATATTGTTCTCCGGTTTTCTCAGTGTGTGTCCTATCCAACGGCAGCATCTTTTTTACACCTCTTGGTCCACCGGAGCTTGCTTAGTTCTCTCCCAAAGCTCTACATTAGTGATTCTATCATACCATTTTATTCCCTCTATTCTGAGCAGGCACCAGTTAATGAATGTCTGTAATTTATTAGTAATTGCCTTAGTTGTTCTCTATGTTTTCGCTCCAGACAAAAGTACTGATTTGACATTAGAATAAAAAAAATGTAGTTTAGTATTTCTTTTAATTTTTTTTTATCTCCACAAATTCCTTAATACTATAAAATCTCCTCTTGATTTTTGTATTCTTATTTTAATATCTCTATCGGTTCCCCTATCTTTATCTACATTACCGCCGAAATAGGTGTAAGACTCCATGTCATAATGAGAGTTTAAACATGGCCACCCCACTTTTGACCTTGACCTGAGAGGAGCAGCATTCTGTTATCCATTTTGTTTCCTAATTAGTGAGGTGGTAAAACCTAAAGAAATGAATCAGGTGCCGTCTGGCGATGCATGACTGCCAGTCCAGCAAGTATATGAGTGGAGCAGGAAGTTTCATCCACTGTATGACTTCTGTAACAGACTGTTCTCGATCAAGCATCGATGCATTGTTGTTTTAATTCTGGAGTAAGCACTTTGTACTGGTACTGTAGCACATTGTGGATGATATGGTGGGCTGAACCTTGACTGATGTCAAGATGTTTAGTTTAGTTTAGTTAGTCGAGGAGAGACAGAGTTCGAAACGAGAACATTAGATCAATTGTAGGAACCACACCATGCCTGCAATTCATAAAGAGGCAACAAATAGAGTGGTTTGGCCACTTGATGCGAATGCAAACCGACCAACTGCCTTTACGAGCATACAACGAACAGCACTGCTGCCCTAGAGCAAGAGGCAGACCGAGAGTACGATGGATAGACAATATATCAGAGATCCTGAGGCAACACGGACTAACAACAACACGTGCAACACACCTGGCCCAGGATAGAAAATTGCGACTCCCCACTATGCTGTGAGGCAATTGTGGACAAGACAAGAGAGAGAGAGAGAGTCGAGGTTTTAACATCACCACAATCGGGTTTTCCCCCATACTTCCCCCGTTCCTGTGCCAGTGTGAATCAAATGAAATGTCCCTCATTGTTGCAGTTGAAAAACTGTGAAAACAAACAGATAGTCCCGGAACAATCCAGAAATTTGTTTACACAGAAAATGCATATTTCAGTTGCTCAAGGTGCCAAAACCAACAGTCCCGACCAGAAATGTAGTTTGTCGTTGATGGAAGTAGTCGGTCACGATAAGTTTGTTACTATACACACACGTAGAATTCTTACATAAGGTATTTCACCAGCTCACCTGTAAACCGGCCACCGACCATATTGAACAAAACGACACAACAGATGCACAAATGAAAGGCATTCCATGGGAAAAACACAGCTCACAGTGCTGCAACCAAGCACTAAACTCAGTAGCTCAGGCAGCAAAACCGTAGACTACCGTCCTTATGTGGAAACTGCATTAGCAAAGCGCTTTCGGAAAGAAAAATGATGTCAAGATGTCCGGCAATGTAACTCACAGTCAATCACTGGTTTTCCTGCACGAGGCCTTTAAAGGCTGCAGTCGACTCAGGGTCACTAATCAGTGTGCCTGATCAGATCATGAGCAGTCTGTCACAGAAGTCAGTCTGTTGTGAAACGTCCTACTCCACTCATACACCTGCTGGGCGGACAGGTGTGCATCACCGTACTTGACCTTCATTCACCCCTTAACTGATTAAAATAAATGGATAACAGAACACTGCTCCTCTTTTGTGCATGTCAAAAGTGGGGTGGCCATCTACATACTGTCATTATATGCATATCATCTGCTAACTGCCCCTCTCCCACCACCCCATTCCCCTATGGGTTCCAGAACCCCGTTGTGGGGGAAATCAAGAATAGTCCCACTGCTTCCCCACAAGCATGTCGTAGGAGTCACTAATTGAAAACTTCTTTCGAAGTCAGAGTGCATCTACCCCAGCGGCAAAGAACAACCAATTGCACACACATAAGTCAATAAAATGGATGTACATACAAAACTCAGGCCCTGGCCAAAAATCCAAATGGATGAACAATCAGGACTTTGCACCCGAGCTTACAGCTGTTGAACAAAGAAGGAGAATAAGGAGATCTGCTGACACAGTGACAAACACACATGAGATCTGCTGACACAGTGACAAACACACATGAGATCTGCTGACACAGTGACAAACACACATGAGATCTGCTGACACAGTGACAAACACACATGAGATCTGCTGACACAGTGACAAACACACATGAGATCTGCTGACACAGTGACAAACACACATGAGATCTGCTGACACAGTGACAAACACACATGAGATCTGCTGACACAGTGACAAACACACATGAGATCTGCTGACACAGTGACAAACACACATGAGATCTGCTGACACAGTGACAAACACACATGAGATCTGCTGACACAGTGACAAACACACATGAGATCTGCTGACACAGTGACAAACACACATGAGATCTGCTGACACAGTGACAAACACACATGAGATCTGCTGACACAGTGACAAACACACATGAGATCTGCTGACACAGTGACAAACACACATGAGATCTGCTGACACAGTGACAAACACACATGAGATCTGCTGTGACAAACACACATGAGATCTGCTGACACAGTGACAAACACACATGAGATCTGCTGACACAGTGACAAACACACATGAGATCTGCTGACACAGTGACAAACACACATGAGATCTGCTGACACAGTGACAAACACACATGAGATCTGCTGACACAGTGACAAACACACATGAGATCTGCTGACACAGTGACAAACACACATGAGATCTGCTGACACAGTGACAAACACACATGCTGCTGACACAGTGACAAAACACACATGAGATCTGCTGACACAGTGACAAACACACATGAGATCTGCTGACACAGTGACAACACACATGAGATCTGCTGACACAGTGACAAACACACATGAGATCTGCTGACACAGTGACAAACACACATGAGATCTGCTGACACAGTGACAAACACACATGAGATCTGCTGACACAGTGACAAACACACATGACATCTGCTGACACAGTGAGATCTGCTGAGATCTGCTGACACAGTGACAAACACACATGAGATCTGCTGACACAGTGACAAACACACATGAGATCTGCTGACACAGTGACAAACACACATGACACAGTGACAAACACACATGAGATCTGCTGACACAGTGACAAACA